ATAATTATTAAAAGTGTCATAGCGTTGAATTATTGTGCAAATTTGTATAAATCTTTTCCATTTTGTGAATGCACTGAACCGCTGTACACTTTCAATGAGCGGATTAGTTCTAGAATGTTTGATGATGCGAGAGAGCGCCGCGCCGCTGCTCCACAGCTCTAGACGTCCCCGACATCCCTGTTCATTAATACGAGAGGCCGCGTGCTTTCTCCGGAACACAGTTGAACGGTGAATACTTGAACAGTGTACTGTGTAGTACAGCCTGAGGTAATGTTGTCGGTCCAGTCCTAACACTTCAATGTCAAACTCGGCTTCGTCAGCCTCTTGCGCGGAGGACGGAGAAGCGGTATTCTTATACATACAAGTGCGGCAAGTGCTCTCGCTGTTACCAACCGGTACGGCGCGGGACTCCTCCTGTCCTGTAGTGCAACGTTGTTGCCTGTCTCGGCTGTGAGGAAACGATCTACTAGTACCTACTCGTAATATTCCCAGCGGGCCACTGCTGTGCGCGGTCACTTACCTCGCTGTACACTGTTTCAACAATAACAACTAATGTGTTCTTTATTAGAGTCGTACACACACACACACACATCTAGACTGGAGTCAATTAATTATTGTTCACAAATAAAGACGAGGAAAAATATAAATAATGTGTCACTAGTCACTAAGCAGGACGCAGGACGCAGATTCAAACAAAAGACGCTTGTTAACCGACACCGGCGCTGTAAGCTTTGTTTGTGTTTATTGTAATTAGTCAATATTATCAGTACATTTAGAGACCACGGCGGTGGCCACTTGACCGCCCTTATACAAATGTTCTTTTGAAACGAATCTTGGTTAATTCTTTCTTAATTTTCCAATGATGAATGGATTCTACGCCTACGTAAGTTATACTCGTATTATTTTCATAAGCTCTTCCCGAGTCCATCTCTGATTTGTTGTCTCCAGTATCAAGATGTTGTTGTAGGTTGTATGTACGTGTATGTGTGAGATGCTTGGTGGCGGCGCGGCGGCGTGGCGGAGATCCCGGTCGTCTCCCCGGCTCGTACCGGTCTATCTTCTAAACTATATTTGTTTCGTTGTTTGTGTGTGTTCGATTGCTGTCGTAATATCACTGTCAAAGGTTCCAAATACTTTCAAGCGCTGTTTTGAATAGTAATTAAGCTAAATAGCAATTCGAGCTGTGATCACGAAGGCAAACAAGTCGCAGTGGTGTGTGGGCGGGCTGTGCGGGCACAGGTGAGGCGCTATGCGATGTGTGCTCTTCACTAACGCGCTATTTTACACGTTTTAAGAGCCCTCGGATCGTTTCCAAATTTGTTCACATTATTTTTTTGTCAAGTTTCGAGTGACGGTTTAAGTGTCCCAAACGAGCTGTTTGTATAGGACAGGATATTATGACGCATGCTGCTCTCGTCTCTGGGTCGGCTCGTTTGGGATGTCGCATCGTCGGAGGGATTACTAGTTCCGGACCAGTCATTAACGAGGGTCGTCGCCTCGTCACGGTGCCGAGTGAGAGCGAGTCCGTCGGCGGCACGTGTGGCGCGGCCTGCGGGCTACACTTCCGACACAGCGCCGCCCGCATGCAGACACGCATCGGCACACAGCACTCCCGGCGCCGCTCGTCTGCCGCTCTCGAGTCGCTCTTGCACTACGAGCGTGTCGACTATTCGTGTAATCCAGTGCGATCCAGTCTTATTTCAATAAAATCGCTACCTCAATCTCATGTCTCAGGGCGGTCATTCATGTTATCATAACTAATTATGTATTTGGAAACGAATTACGGTACGGTACTCACCGTACACCGGTCATCGTCACTCGTGACCCTGACGGAAGTATTGCATCACTTGACTAACGAGGCGATCGATTTGTTTACGTTAAGTACATCAGTATGGTAGTAGTACTTAATATCAAACTGTCCGCTACATTTGTAGACCGCTGCGTCGCATCGCTAGATCGCGGACCACATTCGTAATAACGTGACTCGTGCGATCGTAAATAGATTGAAACAAAACGATCGCTAACATGAGGCGTGCGCCGCGAGTGCAGTTTCCGTGTTGTAGTCCATACGAGGCTCGTGACGTCACGCGCGCTCGGCCCCGCCGCGCCGGTAGGTGTCTCGTGGAAACGAACAAAGATCGTTGCCGAAGCGCTGTGTCAGCGGCGCCGCGGCGCTGTCTTGTCCAGTGGACATTCATCCGATGTTAATGGTTCCGTTGATATTCGTTAACACTCATCGTTCGAAGCTTTTGTATCGATGAGGTGTTTTATTATGTGAATGATGCGGTCAGATTAGTAAAGGCACCAAGCGAGTGGGAGGGGGTCGCGGTGGCACCAGCAGGTACTGCGAGCGATAACGTGCGCCTACTTCCGAGACGTTCCGGCCCATTAGACTCAGTCACCGCACTCCGCACGCTCCACTTTGCACCATTTCCAAACAAACAACACCATGCATGTGTCGTATTGAGCTCACCTCTTAATTCTTTGTAATTAAACGAAGCTGCACGAACGTGACCCCTTATCATTAGGCGAGCCCTGCGCTGCCTATGAAGGCCTTAAAAAGGTACAAATGGTTGCTGGTAGCCACTAAACGACAACTGACGATGAAGTCGTCTGGACTTCTATAAAGATTTAACTACTTCAACAACGACGAGACGCATCAATTGCCGAAAGGTACAACAATATGCTTGTGACGTATCCACGTACGCGATGAGACCTGTCCTTGAGCTGTTCACTCGAGTGGAGGCGTCTGTGGGACTGTACAGCAGCAGTACCATTCAGTGGAATATTTGCACGCGCCTCACTCAAGCCGTAGATCCTCACGTACTGCAATTGTCTAGCTTATTCCCTCTACTTCGTCCGCGTGGAATAGTTTCTTTGGCGTAACGCAAAATTTTACCCGCGACTTCATTTACGTAGAAATTTAAAAAAATTTTGAATAATAGAATGTTAAGGAGCTATTTAAGGTACCAAAATCATGCTTTTTAATCGACTTCAAAAGAGGAGGTTATCAGTTCGACAACTATTTTTTTATCTTTTTTTATTTATTTATTATCTATTTATGTTTACCGATTTCTCGAGAACGCTTGTACTGATTCTGATAATCTTATTCTTTATTTTTTGTACGAAAGGGTAGACTTCCCGAATGTCCTGTAACCATCATTTGATCTGATTATGGGATCCTGGAGATATCCAGAAAACCTATAATTTTGAAACCCTATCTCGAAGTGATTTGGCTGTTTCATGTTATTGTTCTTATTCTGTGCCGCCGCGCACTGGCCGGCCGGCGCCCTGTACATCAATATTACGCGCTTGATCATTATGTTACTGCAATGATATTTTAAAACTGCAATATCTTCTCATACTCTTTAAAATACTCATAGCGAGATACTCATTAAAATCAAGTGAGGGGAAATTTCTTTAAAATGACATCCTTGTAATGAATAACGTATTTATTTGGATAAGGATTAAAATCATCTTTATAAAAACATCTTCACAAATAATGCTTTATTTTAGAACAAATTTGGTTAGCATGAAAAAACCTAACATGGGCCAACCTTAAAATATAGACATAATATTATGTTGTGGCGGGCTTTGTTTTAAACTTTTAAAGGGAACAATTTTGTCATACGTTATTTTAGCGAAACTTTAACCATGTCCGCAACGCACGCAGCGGAAGTTTTCAAAAGGAAAAAGAACCCCGATTTTGAAACATTCCTTATTGGTGCTCCGCTTGTATTGGTTTAGCGTGATGTTATATAGCCCATATAGCTTTCCTCAATAAATGAGCTTTTTAACACTGAAATAATTTTTCAAATCGAACCTGTAGTTCCTGAGTTTAGTGCGTTCAAACAAACAAACAAACAAACAAACTCAGCTTTATAATATTAGTATAGATTTTGTGGCTCAGTGGCCGCTGAAAACGGTTCACGGCTTGCATCAGAAGCACGGCGCGCAAATTTACGATTGGATCTTGTCGTACTACAGCCCCACATGTCGTGTACTCGCGCTTCACTGCCGTGCTGTGTAACGTCGCATTGTGTAAAGACTAAGCTCCGTATTGTTGGATGGCAGCCGGCGAGGGCCCGCGCGGCGGATTTTTACCTCGCCGCGGTGGAAATTTGCTTAATTACCTACTGCAACCGCTCGGCTGTGGCCTCATTAACATAACATGACCGAGTTTGTCAGCGCCATTTTTGAACAAAACGACAAACAAGTTGTGACATAAAATTTGCATGTTTTACCTTGACTTGCTTCCACTGAACGTTGCTGAAATGTTTCAAGAACCGTGCTCTATACACGAGCCGTGCGTACCTACTACGCTAGACGGGATTGTTGAATAGCATTCTTGCGTGCATTCTTATAATATCCTTATTACAAATAACAAAATTCCTGACATGGACATCAACAATGGCTAACAGGCAGACAGTCTTACAGGCACATACAATTTAGATCTTGGAAACTGTATGCGCTAACGCGAACTCTCTTCTTACATCTGATTCTACTAAGATTTCGACGTTGCTGCCACAGCGCCTCTGTCCGGGGGTCGTACACGACTAGAGCGGGTGCGACGATCATGTGGCCCCGGACTCTTCGGGCTACCTCGAATGAGGATGTTGATGAAGTATCATCCGTCCATGGTAGTTTCGCCCTCACCTAACTTTACCGTCATACTCCCCACTCTTACTTTTACCTCCAATAATCAAAATAGGATTGGTCCTTATTACAGCCTGTATAGGCTTATAGAACCGGCCGTCTGTCTGACGCAGTGATGATACAGCCGTCACTGAATGCGATAATGACGTTTATCTCGTGTCTCAAGAAGGGCCGCGGACCTGTCTATGTTAAATATTTGAACTGGTTCGTCCACTTAAACATTTTAAAGAAATCGCCCTCGATCAGGCGGCCGTTAGATGTATTGCCCGTCTACGCTACGCCGATCAGACTGAGGATTAGGAAGCGAGAGATGAAAGTAACTATTTGTTGGCGGTGTGATACAGAGGCGGAGGCGGCAACGGCGCGGCGAGCAGCGTGTACACGCGGTGCGCCTTCAACAGCGCCGCGCCATACTTCACCAACGGAGCCGACCTCTCCGCCCAGCCGCAGCTCTGGACCGCGTCCGGTATGTACTCCCACTCACACTCTGTACCTATATAATATATAGTCATTTCCAAATACAAAGGTACGAATACAAACAAACATTAAACTGTTTACAAAAATATTAAAATTAATTTTATTATGAATATTGTATAGACGAAACAGATGTATAAATTGTGAAAGTGCAGTAAAGCTTGCGTGAGCTCCGCGGGCCGCGCATCAATCATATAAATTTGTCAACAAAATGCCGCTCAAGCCAATACTCGTACATATGAACGGTCCTTCTGAGCCGAAGTGCGAACTCTCCGACATGCATTGGGAAGAAATTAGTTTACTTGTACAACATTACGAGTTTATTACGTATGTGTGACGCGAGCAGGAGGGTCTCCGAGCTACGGCAGCAACGCGATGCTGGCGGACGAATACGCCGAGAGCGCCGCGGAGGGCGGGGGGTCCCTGCCGTCTTTCAACACGCGGTTCGGCGGCGCCTTCGCCTGCGCCACCTCGCGGCCCTCCACCGTCTACGGAGCGCCAGCTCTGGCCTCCAACGCGTACGCACACCAGGTACGGACCCCACACTCGTGAAATGAACAAATGTCAAGGGACAAACAGTACGACGGTCGTCTTTATCGCGAATATCGCAACACTACCTTCAGAGCTATAAAGGCATCGCAATTCGACGAGAAGTGGTGCCATGTATAGTGGCGGTTCAGTAGAGTCTCAATTCAAATCCACTAAACTGGCAGCGGGCCGCTGGCGCCGCGCCGTGCGTGTGTACCGAGTCGTAAGTGAGCACCGGCTGAATGTTCCAGGAGGGGTGGAGCCTGGAGAGCAACCGCCGGCCGCAGCTCTCCGCAGCCGACCGACTCTCTGCAAGTATGTACCGCACTTTACTACACAAATACCTAAATTATGTAATTATGTAGTTTTATCACTACGTTCGTGTATCATGTTTCGATTTCTGTTTTTTTTTTTTTAAATATAGGATCATAATAACTATCACCGAATACAAGAGATTTTATAAAAACCTGAATCGTGCTGATAATATTTTCAAGGTCAGCTTTGAAACTACATAGTTACAAGCTCTGATTCTGAAAAAGAATTAATTTGATTTTTTTACTGGTGGTAAGAAGTCTTGTGAGTCCGTACGGGTAGGTAGCACACCCCTGCCTGTTTCTGCCGTGAAGCCGTAATGCGTTTCAGTTTGAAAGTTTGTGACTGCCGACTGTGGCAGCCGTTGTGATTACCTATATTAAGACGTTAGAACTGATATCTCAAGATCGGTGGGGGCATTTGCGTTGTAGAAGTCTATGGGCTGCGGTAACCACTTATCATCAATTGGGCCGTGAGCTCGTACAACCACGTAAGCAATAAATAAATAAAAATTGAACCCTCCATTTACGAGCAGTGACACTCGTTCGGTGGAAGATCTTCCGTTTTTCGTCCCTCGAAAGAAACTCATTTTTTGAGTTGGATTTTGTGTTAAAAAAAGATAATCTTTCAAATTCTTCGCTAAGAGAATAAAGCAGACAAATAGAGATCCGTGTCGGCTACGATGAGTTGTTCGGAGTAATGCTCTGCATGCTCATCGTGTCTCAGTTTGCGTCGCCACAAAAAATGCAACCGCAGCCTAGCGAGGGCGGCGAGGGCGGCGAGGGCTGCGAGGGAGATGCTCGCAGATAGCGCGGGGTCAGCTCTCGACGAGATAGCCTCTCAGCTCCGCTCATATTATTTTTTACTGCGATAATTTTAGTAGACAACTCCGATAAGAGAAGTTCCGGTATTATTTACGATCGCTCGCGGACGACGCGGCCCGCTTTTTTTTATATTTCTGTTCTCAAACCTTTATCTATCCTCGAGAGCGGCTGTTAATTTTTATTTCTGTTTTGTGACCCGTAAAACAAATTAATACTTTCTATGAACCGTACTACCATCTCGGGACACATGTATAGAGCCGGCATTTTTTACTCACTTGTTGTCTATACGATACATACATACATATACATATACATATGTAGGTACGTGCGTACCTCGGCTGTTTACATTATTAAATATGAACGTATCTTTTTACATTCATAAGTTTCAATGGAAGAAGTGCTCGAGATGCAGAGAAATAAAATAGAGATTTCTAACTTTACAGACGTTCGAAACTATGAATTCGATCAGGTTTTCAGAGTAAGAACAACATCGGAGGATCGTGCTCTGTTTGACTAGCTCGTGTTGATGATGCGCACACAACAATGTCTTGTACAATTGTTTGGTACACAACACAAAAAGCAATGCAAACACGAGGCGAGAAGAGGCACTCGCCATAAAGCGCAGAGCGGTCCCGGACTGTTTGCGTAGGCACACGCCGACAAAAAAACTACGTCCATTTCAAATGAAGTCTTTCCCTTTTAAGCGCATTAAAATCGCATTCCGTAAATGGTATCGGATAAGGCACGTGCCGCACAAACAGGCGCGTCCTGTCCCGGCGGCGGGGAGCACCTTATCGACGCACCACGTGCACAGCGAGCGCCATCACCGCCATTAGGACATAGTTGCGCAGTGACGTCAGCGACCACTCTGCGACACAATTGGCCTCATAAATACATCGTGCGACGGCCGATAACGGGGCGCCGGACCAAATGTGCAACTCCGACCGACCAGCTCGACCTGCCAGACGCAGCCGCGGGTGACGCTCGTCTTCTGGAATGGCGAAACGATAACCAACTCTATATTCCAACCAACAACAGCACGGAAACCACAACGCACACACACTGGACGTGAATAGATCTATATCTGCGCCCCAATATATTACTCAGCGTTGTTTGGACCTGCACATCTGATGATCTCGAATCGCGTTACTCTTGCGACTAAAACATTCATCATTAAGTGACTCGTCTCGAGCATATACACATCTATTTTATTATATTTATTGAAACGACGCATCACATTATTGAAGAGCAATGGAAAAGATATAACAATTTAGATAATATTTCTAATTTAGCAATAGAACCACATGGTGCGCAACAGAGCCGCGCTACACTACATGTTATGTTGTTGACGTGGATAGTGTTACACGCTACACGTCGTACAGCCAGTGGAGAGCAGGCCGAGCCGGGCGAGGAGTTGCGGACCACATGGCCGCGCTCTGCCTGTAACTCGACACGTGTCATCACATCTGTACGCATTCATGTAATCATTCGATACAAATGTACACTTACTAGTAGAAGGGAACAATCGCTAGCTAATACGCAAGGCGCACCACCGGTTGCCGTGTAGCTGTGCCGATCCTGAAGCGGGTGTATGTTTTCAAATGGCAACTGTTCTACGGTTCTATTACAAAACAAGTACTATACAAGTGAAACGGTCATTTTTGAAGCCGATCTCACGACCGACAGCTGACCGTCTACCGGGCTGCCCCCTCCCGAGCCATTACTTGACGATTTTGAAGTCTCGTCGGCATTAAACCGGAATACATATCGAATAGCTTCAAGGTACATAACTATACTTAGGATAGCGGCCCTAAGCGGTTGCTAATGACAACATGCATTATCTAGTGGTCGGTAAGGAAATAGGAAGTTAAGAGTAGGGTTGGAAAAAATTCGATAGAAGACGAAGTTTCAAAGATCGGTGGCTCTGGCAATCGCTGACTGTCCTTAACGATGACCAAGGTTTCCACCGGAGAGCGGACAACGGCATTATCCGTCCGACAGTATGCCGGCCTAGAGCGTACTGTCAGTCCGCGCGGGCTATCACCATCCGGTCCAAACATGCCCTGCCGCGGTCGTGGCAGTTGTGATGACTATGGGCTGCGATGACCACTTAGTACAAAGTAGGCAGTGGGCTCGTCAGTTTATTTGTCGCAGCTATCGCCTGCGTCACAAATCTCAAATTACACCAAATATACTCTGTATCGACAAGAGGTATTCACATCTGTGTTGTGAGTACGTACGTAGACAGACTGCGGTAACATTTTAGATACTTAAAATAAGAAGTTCTCTGACACTAGTAACTGTAGTACTAGTGTTGGTATTGTTATAGATTACCAGGATGTGAGTTGGTTAGTTTACATGTACGAGTCATTCACCGGATGACCGTTGGCTCTGGCGGGCCCGGGTCGCCGCGTCGGCAAAACACGCAACTGTACCGCGCAAGTCGGGTCGAATAACACAATGTGTTACCTCACATGAATGGGAGCTCCCGTATATATAGTTCTTCTCGATAGTACAGACTTCCGAGAACCGTAACTCCGGGCTCACAGGTGCCAGTGGCGGCCGTGTGGCGGGACGGGGGGCGGAGGACGCGCGAGTGACGTAACGGTCTCAGCCTCCGGTCACCTCCAACGGAGCTTTGTGCCTACGCCGCAAGTCAGGGCCGTCAGGATCTGAACACGTCACTGAACATTTATGATATTTTGTTCACCATTGTGATATGAATTGCATTGTACTCGTATATTATAAAACTGATTAGATTAACCGCAGAACTAAAGGGTCGTTGTGGCGAGGGTTGGGGAAAGCCCATGACCAGCAGTGAACCTCTGCGGTCTTAAAGACAGATACTTTATATTTTGTAGCATATTATTACGGAATATCGCGTGAGGTAGCCCTAATTTGAAAGTCTTCTTACCTCTTATATTAAATGAATGTACTATAGAATTGTATAGGTATATCTTTAAAAGATCAATGAAAAAGGTATATATTTATTTCTAAAGGATAGCCCATAGTAAACCATTTTTTTTGTACATAAAAAAGTGTGTTATTTAGCAGCTATTTTATACAATAAAGGGTTATTCCTTTTTCCATTGTATATAATACATAAAATTCATTAAGATCAAAACTGAAGAAAATGAAATAAAATAAAATAAAAACTCTTAAAAACATTCCATTAAAATGGATGAATCTTAGAAGACATCCGAGATTTAAATATCGGAGGCAAAGCGGCTGGCGGGCCGTACGCTTAGTCTCGGTGGGCAAGGATCGGCGGGCGCGGCAAGTGCCGTATGCCGAGGACCGATGGATGAAGGATATACAATGACATATTGGGTGAGGCGCGCTCGCTCTATAACATTGTATAATTCGTTAATTTATCTCTTTACCTACTTAGGCAAGATCAGTTTCAAAGAAATTAATATTTTTTAATTATCATAATTCTAAGGTATTTAAATATCACAGTTCAAAAAAGAACTGAGTTTATTTGTTATTGATGATGGTTTATTTTTTTCTGTACAGAAAGCAATAGGTATTTAATTACTTTTTTCCCCACCTATTCTACTAACCTCGAGGGGTTATTCTAGATTCACCGAACTAGTAGGTGAGCTCGCGGAGCTCAAAACTGACGGCACGTTATATATTTCATTAGAAAAATTGGTATCCGCCTGCGGGATTCGAACACCGGTGCATCGCTCGATTCGAATGCACCGGACCTCTTATCCTTTGGCCACGACGACTTCGAAACGGCTCCGAGCCGGCTTCGACGGCTCCAGTAACCACTTAACACCAGGTGGGCTGTGAACTCGTCCACCCATCTAAGCAATAAAAAAAAGAACCGGCCAGAAACTCAGTAGGCTGTCTGTGGGTTAATTTACTCGCCGAGCCCTTCCTCGTAAGCAAAGGGTTCGACGAGAACGATGACCGGTGCTTGGGGTACCTAAAAGCACCGTTAGTGGTTCGGGAAGATCTGAAATGACGTCGATAGAACGACGTCGACTGTCTACCATACGGTCCGCGGGATCGGGAATGTTGTTATCGGCGGCCATGATGAGAGGGTTCTCGTGTCGTGCCACTTTCGCGAAATGGCGCATTGATGCCGACTGTAGATACTTACTGATGGACTCTAGATCCAGGTCGTCGTGGAAATCGATGTTCCTCACGTACCACGGGGCTCCAATGGCTATCCTGCAAAAACGGGATTGAATGACTTGAAGGGGTTTCAAGTTAGTGAGGGCCGCGTGAGCGAACACTACACTTGCATAGGTCATGACGGGGCGTATGCAAGTTTTGTAGTGTCACCTTATTTCTAAGGCACAATTTACTTCGCTCGCAAATCATCGGATAGAGAGATATCTCAATCATGTCTTAAAGACGTCGAACTTCAAAGGTAGTAGGTGGTAGCACAAGGATTGCAAAAAGAATGCGCTTATGTAGAGGCAGAGAATCGTTAGAAGAGCGTGAGGCTCGAGAGAGACATCGAGTTCAGAGAGCCAGAGAACTGCGCGCACAGACTCATTTATGGATAATACAAGTGAATTGAAACACCACGATGATAGAGGAATTTCTTCTTCCATCCGAACCAGTACAAGCTCTGCTTACGGGTGATCATCAAAAATAGAAATAATTCATACGCAATATACATCCTTATAATAACATATTTCAAATGACCTCTTTCAAAAGTAGTGGATAAAATTATGGAACGAGGATTTATGGCTACATTTAAAATTCAAGGGCAAGTACTGTATCCCGATCAACACTGATTTATGCAAATCTATTTTATGTTAGATACAGAAACACAAGCATATACTCGTATTATTAATCACTCCACACTGCTCCATATTAGTGTCTACATTGCACCCTGCGAAGCCCGACCGGGTCACTAGTGTTATACACACACATTATTACATTTAAGTTTTGTTTTATTGTTTAAATGGGTGTACGAGCTCACAGCCCACCTGGTGTTAAATGGTTACTGAAGCCCATAGACATCTACAACGTAAATGCGCCACCCACTTTGAGATATACGTTCTAAGGTCTCAAGTATAGTTACAACGGCTGCCCCACCCTTCAAACCGAAACGCATTACTGCTTCACGGCAAAAATAGTCAGGGTGGTGGTACCTACCTGTGTGGACTCATAAGAGGTCCTACCACCAGTAGTTTATGTTATCAATCTGATGAAAATTGGCATAGAATGTTTTGTGATTTTGTGGATTATACATATCTGAGCAGCTACGGACCAAGTGCAACTTTGCTGCTCTGTTGAATTCACATTGTGTAATGTGAATTTAAATTGAATCATGATAAACAGCGTCTGTACATCTACATAATTACATCCAATCGCGGATTTAGAATACGTATTAATTTATTTTAGTACAACATTTGAATAGATTAAGGTCTCATCTCTCTAGACAGTGATGGAAAAACACTTCATGGCCATTCAGGTCAGGCCAGTGTTAACGTGTACAAAGCGATACATAATATAGTAGTTAGATTGTGATATAATAATGAAGATGGAAGCGTCGAGTCAGCGCGTCGCGCGACGTGCCTCCGCTGAGTCCGCGCTCGCTCACTGTCAAGGTCGAGGAGGTTCGACACTCTCAAGCCGGAGCACGATCGGCGGTCGCGGGTCGCATCTTCCGTGTTGTGAATGATATTTACGCGGCGATGGGGATACACAATATGTTTATACGATGCGGACGCTCGGCGGCGTGATTACACGCAGGCTTCGGACTCGGCAAAGTGAAGGGTGGAAGGCAAGCAGGTGTTGAGCTAACGTTTATTGCGCACAGTCGAGTTGGCGGAGTTTTTCACTGAGGGGCGCGAGTGCGTGAACTGCGGGGCGATCCACACGCCGCTGTGGCGCCGCGACGGCACCGGCCACTACCTGTGCAACGCGTGCGGCCTCTACAACAAGATGAACGGCATGAACCGGCCGCTGAAGCAGCCCCGGCGGCTGGTACGTCAGCGCCACGCCGCACTCGCTGCGCCTCCACATGATGTACGCACCTCGCTCGCTCGCTCTCACCTCGCCCTCGCTCTCACTCTCGCCCGAAGAACGCGCCCACAGCCCGCGTGGAATCCGCGCCCGCCGAGCGTCCGCTCCGCCGCGAGCTAAGGGCTCTAGTGACAGTTGTGTTGGTTGCAGTGGCCGCGGAGGGGGCCCCGTCGGGCGCGGATTTCTACAAGGGCTTCCTGTTAAATGGCATCCAGGCGTCGCACGCTCTGCCCGCGCCGCAGCCGCACGCGGGTCCCAATCCTTCTGACTACAAGCAGAAGAAAGGGGTACGTGGTGGCTGTCTCCCCGCACTAACACTCGCCCACTAACCCTCATCGCTTCTCTCCTCATTCGCTAATGTGATTACTAACGCATGCGCTTCGGACTGTCGAGTTGCTATGACGAAGCTCGTCCCCGTGGCGCTCTCTGACCGCGCCTTCTGTGCAGATGGGCGCCAAAAGACCGGGCACGATGTGCACCAACTGCCAGACCACGGCGACGTCCCTGTGGCGCCGCAACGTGCAGGGCGAGACGGTCTGCAACGCGTGCGGCCTCTACTTCAAGCTGCACAACGTCAACCGACCTCTCACCATGAAGAAGGACTCCATTCAGGTAACATAATAATATAGACACTATCATTTTGGTAATTACTTACCATTTTTCATTATTCTCTATCGAAATAAATCGAAATAAATGTTTTTTTTTTAATCGTAAAAAGATTATATAAAGAAATGTTGCATAGATCGAATGCATGGAAGATGGTCCACTTGGGATTTAGTGTTTAGCGGGATCCATAGACATCACAACGCGATCGTTACCACTTTAAGACACGAGCCCTCCAGACGGCGGGGCGGCGGTACCAACTCGTGCGGGCCTGTAGTGCGTCTTATCTTTCGTATGCGTATCCTCTCGGTATCGTCTGCGTGAGACTCCAGTCCTCGTTGAACTCTTCGTCGTATTCGACGAACTAACCCATAGATACAGCCTTCTGGGCTTCTCATCGGAACTTCTCAGTGGGTCGCAATTCCCATACAGTGGTAGATTCTGGTAAGCACTGCTCATGCTAGGGCTAGTGTTAGCAAAGTATCGTAGGTTGAGCGAGTTCACCTACCCGCCTGAGCGTAGCTGGAATAGCCTATTAGGCTGCCAGAGAATAGGCAGGAAATAGTGAGACTCCATCCCGAAACTGTTCGTGTACAAGGACGCGCAGAGTGTTCTAAACAGGATGAGTTTGGCGGCCCTTGAGCACCGACATAGTCACGTCCCACGAACAGATAAACACCCTACGCTCTCTCTCTCTGTAAATACATTATGTGTATTCTCATTAATCTAATTATACAAAAACAAATATCACAAATACCTAATTCGAAGTAAAATCACAAATAAATTTTAATGAGCTTGTAAGACATCAAGTAATTTCAGTCAATCAAGTCATTTTAATTATATTTTGTCACTACTATTGTAATTACAATTTTTATTATACTTCCAAACTTATGAATAGAAGATAAAACCAAATAAGAACTAATGGGATTTAGGTACCTTCATCAGCTAATCACGGTGAATGACGTTACAGACGAGAAAACGGAAACCAAAGAACAGTAATATTAAGGCTGACAGAAGCGCTAAGGCAGTACAGCGAGCCGTCTCCGCGGGCATCAAGATGGAGAGCATATGTGAGTCGCAGTACCAATGAGTTCACGCATGCAACCCGACGCGCGAGGAACTCGCTGACATCGGCCGTCGCGGTCAGGGCCACGCTCCCGCTGCCTCCGCACTCCTCCTCCCTCCGCACTCCTCCTCCCTCCGCCGCGATCAATGGAACTCGTAACGTAAACACGGCCCTCGACTCCGGCGTCGGGTTACAGAGCTACACTTGTGGCACACACGTTATTCATTCACTTAATTTCTGAGAAGTGTGACAGTTTCTAGTCGTAGTGAAGTACAATGATCTGTTCGCGTGACAGTGGAGTCGGCGCGCCGCTCTCCGCCGCGCCTGGGCTACTACGTGCAGTCGGCGGAGGGCATGAAGCTGGAGGAGCCGCAGCACCACGTCATGTACATCGGAGTGCCGGAGCTGGGCCCGCACAAGGCCGCGCCGCACCACGACCACTCCGCCGTGTCGCTCGCCAGCTGAGCCTCGCGACCAACTCCAAACATCATCATAATAATTAGTACGTTTGTTGTGTATATTTGTACGTGCGTGATAGAGCTCCCTCGCTCGGACCGCCGCTCGCCGCCCGCCGCCCGCCGCCCAAATACACGTTCACTAGACATGATTACATTTAGCCTAAAATCTATATATTAATGAAATATGAATATACATAGGTGTACACTCGTATTATAACGTTACTGTAACATAATAATAACAATAAGTTTGCGCGGGGAGCGGCGGCTGGTCGGGCGACGCTAAATGTTGTTTTAATGAAAGGTTCGATTAGGGTCCTGTTACTTGTTACCGATATCATTAAACCTATGAGACTGTGCATTAACCATTCCTAACGTGCATTCCTAAATAGATAGCTATTTAAATAAATATATACAATTTTAATTAGATTTAAGACGTTTTAAAACCCGCTGTTGTAGTAGATTCGGTCTTCACTTTCAAGTGGTGATGACTTGTATGAACTCCATGACTTGCAGAAACATTCCATGAATCGATTCAATTAGCTCGTAGAACTCGTACGAGCATGCACTCGCACTCGCACTCGCACTGGCACTGGCACTCGCACTCGCGCGCAGCGTCCCTCGCCGTGCAGTGTCGCATCGTGTACTCGTATCCGTTATCATAATACCTATTTGATTAGATGTGTTTTTTTATGATTGTATTTTCAAAATTGTCTTATTTACCACGCTCTCTAATTACCATTAAGTAAGTAACATACAAACAAACAAACAAACTACTCAATATATAATATTGAAGCCATCATTGTATTGATATTGTTCTGTTATTATATTATCAATATGTGTACGGTAAGCTACACGACATGTTTAAATACAATACTTTTTAATTATTATTATCATATTTTATATATTTAGAGACTATGCATTTAAAATTATATTAATATAATTATTTCCTCTCTTAACCAAGGTGGACCGAATTATTAATATTACCCAAGTTTCTCACTAAGTGCCTTAGTTATACTTTTTAGAGAATAAATTAAAACATAATATTATGTCATTTTGTACCAAATGTTGGACTCGGATAAGATAATATGTTCTTCGCGTTCTGCTGGTGATTGAGATGAAATTGTTCCACACTGTTTACTCTTAAAATTTTATACGATAGATGCATTTAAATTATGATCACCGCAACAGATTTATATGTTATGTTATGTTAAATAGATTCTGAGACACGGACGCGCAAAGATATATTTAATTTTAATGAAGTCGTAGGTTTATTTAAAGAAGCTTCGCCAAATAGTAGGTACGTGTAGGCTGTGGACGCCCGCGCCGCCGCGCCGTAGGGACGACTCGAGTCTACGTCGATCGCGATCTGTACATATTAGTTAAGGTGTCAAAGTACATTCTATTAAAGTTCTATTATAAAACAGCTTTGTGTTTCACTTCCGTGCTTCATGTTCGACAGCCTAATGCAGTAATTCCGCCTCACCCTCCGCCGTCATGACCTACCACCTATAGCAATGAGCATATGAGCAGTGGATCGAAGATAAGTTCGTTGTATTATAACGCGTATACAGCATTTCCTACATGTGCTACTACTACTACAGTCCTTGAAAAGCTCCCCAGTCAAGACTCGTCTTAAAATGGCCATCTTTGCGTACCGAAAGTTGAGTGTCTGTGCTGTCGAGCCAGAGGTCCTTTACCTGAAGCCACTCCGGAACGATGATGCAGACCATGCTCACCATACGAATTCTTTCCATCGGACTGAACCAACGTAAGATATGGGGCTGCAGTCCTAATGTACGGGTGCTTTGCCAGATTCGATCTAAGCAAGCACAAACATTGCAAGTTCAACAGAAATTTGTAAAATTGCCAGTTTAGCGGTAGGCAGCGGCTTGGCTCTGCCCCTGGCATTGCTGAAGTCCATGGGCGACGGTAACCACTCACCATCAGGTGGGCCGTATGCTCGTCTACCTACAAGGGCAATAAAAAAAAAAAAATAAAGTTTAAACTGGCAATTTAGTTAAATGAGTTCTACTTATTTGCTACTTAAGTAAGTGAAATCGTCGTGGTCTAAAGGATAAGACGCTCGATGTGTGCCAGTGTTCAAATCGCTCATGCAGATACCAATCATTCTAAGGAAATGCTCTGGAGTGCTCTAAGGAATTATTTTGACTTTTGTCATCGCACCGCCCGTTATTAGAGCGGAATTTACCCATACTACCTAGAGGCACTTCCTTCCAGAGATCTTTCCTGCCACGTACCACCACTTGGCTTTGGAATGAACTCCTCCTCTAGGGGCGCTCTTGAACGTTATGGCGAGTTCTTCTTCAAATGAGGTTACGAACGCCTTGCACGGATAACGACGGACGAACGTGTATCGTGTGAACAAAGATAGGCAGTAGCATCGGTAACCACTTAACACCGGGGGGACGGTGAGATCAATCATCAATCTATGAATAAAACACTATCATCCGTTATGACTCTTTTGACTAAAATGTCAGCCTAAAATCTGAATCTGTGAAGGGACATTGGTTCTATTTGCGTTTTGTGGTTTATGTTCCTTGGGAAATGTTATGAGAGATTATTAATGGTTCTTTCATCTTCTTTTATGATATCCCCAGCCTCGGTTGCGGCGGTATGTACAACCCCGCCTTGTAAATCAGATACAACACACACTTGCAGATGCTAGAAAAATATATCTGAGCGCCATCTATCGACTAAAGGACACCAAATACATCGACATACATTTCTCTATCCGAAAAGCGACATCTATCGATCAGTAGAAACTTAATACTTTTAATATTCTCTCGGCAGACAAGGACGCTTGCTCTTAAATGTTTGACGGAATCGTTAGAGGCGACGATGAAAATGTCCTTCTCCAAGTACGTAGACAGCAACTTGGCCCTACACCTGGCATTGCTAACGTCCATAAAACAAGTATACAATCCAACTAATGGTAAGCGGTGACTCTCAATAGACATGAACAGCGCCAGGGGCACAGCCGACCCGATGCCTTCCTTGGCTTGAAGGACAAGACGTCATAGCGCTCGGTAAACTTGTTGGAAATCCACATGGGATATGGCGATAACGAACTCTGGAAATGTGCTGGGCTCTTTCTCATTTCGCTAGCAGCGGTGGCAGGTGGTAGGCGGCTGCCAGAGCCCACGCACAGGTTATTTATTTATTTATTTGTGAAAAAAGTACATTATATCCAAACGAGTTTGGTGAGTGAGAGATTGTTATCGGCGCCGGTGCGTTGCGGCAGTCTGATCTGATCGCCACCGCTCACATTGAAGCATGAGCTTGAAATTTCGATTGTACTGATTCATAGATATTTCATCGTAACAATACGCCAGAAAATAGTAAAATGCCCTAAATAAACTCCAAGAGTACTCCCCGTGTAACTCATATAATATGTAACTAAATACAGATGTCACCGACGTCTCTCCGCAAGCCCCAGGCTCCAGTAACATTCGGGCAGACCACTGAGGAGTAGTGACTTACTTCGTGAAAGATCTTCCATTTTATTTACATAAGGTGACTTGGTTTGTTCAAAATAGAAACCATTAGATGTTCAGTGTCATACTTTATAAATAATTTTCAAGAAAAAACAAAAAACAGGAATATAATGAAGTGGATAATATGTTACGTGTGTCATATTTGCCGTCAGAAGTGAGAAGGAAGCGAAGCCGCTGTCTGTCCCCTGCGAACCTCGGGCTCTAGTGTAATACAAACATAATATAAATCGTACGTTAAGCTCACAGACAACGCAGCGGCTTACAATTAGTAAGATGTTTGTGAGATCTTCAGCACCTACTGCAATTAATTAATTTAGACGTGTACCTATTTACATTATCTTATCTACGTTGCGAGTGCGGTGGTACAGATGTCGTCACAGCGATTGTCATGCTAAACATCTTCACAGCTCGGTCACACTCACCTATGTACGAAATTAACAATTTATTGACGGTAATAACTCACTATTACTACTACTACTACTTGTACTAACGCCTTGTACATTATGTTGACGAGAGGCATAAATGAAATGGCGTTAAGCAGTGAATTGTCTGAGTCTGGCGTTACAGGTATCGTTGGTCGTCGGTGAGTATTTGCCACTGGGCGAGTCGTAGACGCCCCTCATAGAAATTGAATACATAGCAAGAAACTGCCGTGTAACTAAGTATTCAGTCCATGTTAGATTTTGTCAGAGTGGCATGGCTTATGGTGGAATGCAGCCGCCGCTGCCGATCAGTTTCCGTTTAGCAGAAGAGGGTCTAACTTGCAGCTGAAGGATAAACTAAATAAATTAAAAGTAATTGTACCGTCTCAATATAGTAGTTCTGAAGAGTGAGACTTTGAGGGGCTGTGAGTGGATAAACTTTTTAACTCTTATGTGTATTCGCAAAAACACTTAATTACTATCGTATTTTTTGAGTTAGTTTCGTTCAATTTTTAATGTTGGTCATGAACAAATTAATTTCGAATAAGTCCGTTTTTTTTAAACCGCAAAGAGTTATAATACATAAGGTAAGTCTAACTCTTGAGCTGGCCCCCGCCGCCCCGCGCCCCATGCACCTACATGTTTATGCCGAGTTTCGTTGTGCAAGGTCCACAGCCCGGTGTCATTAGTTCATCGGGAGCCCTACCGCGGACATTAATAGCTTAGCTACGTAGTTTCCTGACGGCCGCTCGGTATTTAAGTCTCGCCCATTCATGGCACTGCTTCACTCTTACTGTATATACATCATCATTCTCCTGCCCTTCTCCCAGTCACCTGGGGTCGGCGCAACATGTTTTCTCCTTCCATACTCTTTTATCATATACCATTAAACGGCCGTCTGGTGTAGTGGTAAGTGACATGGTCACTACACAAGGGGGTTGCGGGTTCGAATCCCGCCAAGGGAAGATATTTGTATGATAAATATAAATGTATTTTCCAGGGTTATGGATGTATATTAAATATATGTATGTGTATAATAAAAATCTTACATTTATATCCGTTATCTGGTACCTGTAACACAAGTTATTTACGAACTTATCACGGGACCAGTTAACGTGGTGTGATTGTTAGTAAATATTTATTTATTTATTTATTTATTTGCTCACTCTCCTCTTACCCATATCGTCTTTCACGCAATCCATCCATTTCTTCTTAGGTCCACCTCTTCCTCTATATCCTTCCACATTCATAGTTAACACTCTCTTACCAACCTCATTTTCATTTCGTCTCATCACATGTCCATACCATCCCAAACGCGCACTTCTCAGCTTCTTATTGTATATACAATTTAAACATGCGATTTAAACTGAACCAGTACCTATTTCTTTCAAAGACCTTCATATGAATGTTAAATCTATTACTATTTCATCATACTAGAGTTCCATCGCACGGTACTGGAGCTACCGTGAGCTGGGCATTGGTTCTCTGGCAGCTACGAGCCAGAACTAGACAAATGTAGACGTAGACGTCAACAGGATGAACTCAGATAGATAGATAGACACTAGAAATCCTGGTACCTACTGCGCGCCCAACATGTACGCATGCGCCAGGTAGGTACGCGTAAGTATACAAGTAAGTGTATAGATATACCTAGTACATACGTACACTGAAATAACAATACATGTACATTTTGAATGTGATGTTATCTCGACTTTAAGCCGGCTTAATACCTACTCGCAATCTTCGCAAATAACAATAAATGATTTCGAGGGAATTTTCCTCTCACTAGCGTTGCTTGTGTTTTAATTATACCTATGTACTAATTATAATTGTATACACGGTATACAGTTTGTATACAGTTGCTCGATTTCATCTAGAACATGACCACTCCTGACACCGTGCCGGAGATGCGTGTGTGTACCGTAGTGTAGTGCAGTACGCGTCCGCACTTTGGTGTGTACGTGATCGGGCCGTGCTGTTGTTGAAACGTTTCAGCGCGTGACGCGGACGGGGCGCGGGGCGCGGGGCACGGGGTGAGGGGCCAGAGGAAGCCGTGCTGAAACAATATGGCGGCTTATCGGCGGCCATCGCGCGTCACGTGCGTACCCGCCCTCCCCGCGACCCGGGCCGCTCCTCTTTATTAGCTTTTCACGGAAAATATTCGACGAAAAAAACAACCGATAAGATCACGATGAGGTCGCGCGGCGCCCATCAATAATCCGTCGATGTATCGGCTATCAGATCCGGCGCGAGGACTGCAGACAGGGGCCGAGGCGCGGGCCCCGTGCGACTCCTCCCGGCTCCGGCGGCCAGGACGGACACGACCACTTCACCCCGATGGTCTGTCTGCAGCGGTGACGGCGTGTCGACTGTAATGAGCCGACGCTGCAGATACGCGCTCTCCTAATCAAATCTGGAGGCGCTCTATCTGATAATTACTCGGTATCGGGGATGATATCGCGGTATCTCGGGGCTGACA